TGTTCCCCATGGGCGGCGGGGGGGGCTGGCCGAGAGAGCAGGGCGACAGGTCTGGGTCCCTGGGTCCTGAGCCTCCTGCCCCCACCTCCTGGGGCGGGGCTGGCGGTGTCTGCCGGGTGCCCAAACACAGGGCGAGGGTGGAGCCTCTCTGGGCGGACTGGCTCCTACCTGGGCCCAGCCTTTCAGTCCTCAGCCCTGGGTCCTGGGAGGTATGGGGGAGGCTCCCCCAACCCAGCCTCCCACTTGCGAAGGATGGGCCTCCACGGCCTGTCCCCGGAGAGCATGCCCCGCCTGAACCTGGGCTGGGATGTCTGGGGCTAGAGCTGGGGAGACAGGGACCCCTTGGAGGCATCCCACGTGAGCACACATCCTGTTTCCACCTCAGTGCCCATCTGAGTCACCAGTGACTGTAAGGAGGGGGTGCTCGCTGGAGAAGCCAGTCCAACGCGAGGGAAGGGAAAGCCAGGACCCCCTCCCCGGCCTCCTCGCTTGCCTGGGCTCAGTCCTCACTCGGCGCCAAGGTCAGGGTCCCACAGGCTTAACCAGAAGCCAGGAAGGAGGCGTGGACTTCCCAGGGGTGGGGCAGTCATGGTGGGCCTTGGGCCACGGGGCCTGGCAGGACCAGGCTGAGGGGCCAGGGTCCGCCTCTTGTCCAGGACATCGCAGTGCGGCCCCAGCTGGACACGACGGCACCCCCTCCAAGGCCCCAGATGCCAACGCCGTACCTCTGCCCAACTGTATACCCACCCCCAGACCTTCCTGGTCAACCCAGACAGAACCCCAAAAGGCAGAGATCACGCTGGACACAGGCCCAGAGCCCGAGGAACACGTTTATTGTCCAAGGCGGCTCGTATTGCTGAGGGGTCTGGGGCACACGCAGTGCCAGCTCAGTGCAGGACCCAGGAGATGCCACGCCCACAGGCAGAAGGCCCACCCCGCGGCACGCCTTGCCCTTGAGGCCAGGGCCTGTGCCAAGTGGAGGCTGGGGTCTGCACCTGCCCGGAAGGCCCCCCCCCCCCCCCACGGCTCTGCATCTCCCCCTCGGTCCCCCCAGATCTGCAGAGTCCGAGTTGGTCCTGACCCACATCCATTGGGTGTCTACCCCCAGCGAGAGGGCAGGACACCGGATGGCAGCTTGGTCCCAGAGACAGAGAAACTTCCAGAGCAATCGTATGAACTGGTAGCTGCGGCACTACTCGTCGTCAATAAATACTGAATAAATAAACACACGCATAAATAAACGGCACACACAGAAGTGAACACTGCGGACGGACACGGACATGTGGACAGACGGTCCAGGGCGTCCCCGGTGGGGAACCCAACCCCGATGCACGGTGAGGGCAGGGAGGCGCAGGCCCCCCGTGGGGCTTAAGGCATGTGGGAGGCTGTGGGCGAGCCTGTCAGTCCCGCCGGGGGTCAGAGGCTGGTGGACGACACGGACAGTGTGGGAGAGGACGGAGGCGGGAAGTTGAGCAGCTCCAGCACCGCCACGCCCACGCTGCTGCGCCGGGTGAACATGCAGGACGCCGACACCCACTTGTTGGTCCTCGGGTTGTACTTCTCGATGGAGTTGAGGCTGGAGCTGCCATCGTTGCCCCCCACGGCATACAGCCACCCGTCCATGGCCACCAGGTCGTGGGTGCTCCTGGGGGCGGGGCGGGCGGGTGTGAGATCGCAGATGGGCCACAGGCCCAGGCAGAGCCTCTGGGGATGGGGCCACAGAGCACGGGAGGAGCCTCCTGGGGCTGGGAGGTGCGGGTGGGGGGCGGTACTGGAGCTGAGCCTAGACAGGGAGGGGGGGATGGGCACACCACGCAGGGGTGAGACACCCAGGCTGTGGGGGGACAGGGGCCCTCCCGGGCGGTGGCACAGCACACCTTCGGATGTTCATGGGCGCCACACTCTCCCAGGCACCGGCCTTGGGGTCCAGCACCGCCACGCCCGCCGAGCTGCGCCGGCTCAGCATGGAGGCCACCGGCGTCCACGTATTCGCCTGCGGTGAGGGAACCCGCTGGGCACACCCACGACCAGCCTCCCTCCCCCCCCCACAGCACACAGCCCGCTCCAGGCCGGGTGTCTGTGGGACAAGGGGGGAGGAGCGGAGGGATCTAAAGGCCTGAGGCTCTGGGGGGTGTGGGTGGCCCTTGGGGAGGGGAACACCTGTGATTGGGGTGTTTCGCACCTGGGGCTCATACTTCTCCACAGTGGCCAGGTGTGAGGAGCTGTCGTAACCGCCCACCGCGTACAGGTTGCCATCTGCAGGGAATCAACATGCCCGTGGCATGCCTGCTGTGTGTGGGGTCTCCAGGGTGGGGCAGGCAGGGGTGGGCGCCACAGCAAGCAAGCCCTGTCACCCACCAAGCATAGCAACACGGACATATCGCCTGCGGGTGCTCATGGCGGCGATGGACGTCCACGTTCCCGTCAGGGGGTCATAGCGCTCGGCACTGCGGACAACAGGACCACTGCTGGCCTTGAGTGGTAGCAGACCAGGCTGCCCTCCCCCAGAGGATGGGAAGTCACAGAGACTGGCCCCAGAGTCTCACTGGAGCAGGAAGCGGGCCTGCTGGGTGTGCACGGGCCCCTGCTGCCTGGGTGATCCTGTGCCAGTGTCCACCTGGGCCCAGTCCTGGACCCATGGGAAGGACCCCAGAGAGGAGCAGAAGGGACAGGTGGCTGGCACAGAAAACAGGCCTCAGGGACTTGAGACAGACGGGATCCCACTTTGCTCCCCTCGAGGTCTGACCTCTGCAGTCCTGATGCAGCACACCTGTGGCCGAGCCCAACCCTAAAGGCCACCCTGCCCTGACCACCCCCACTACCTGTTGAGGCAGGAGGCCCCATCGTAGCCACCGGCTGCGTACAGGAGCCCGTGCAGGGCAGCCACACCCAGGCAGCTGCGCCTCGTGCCCATGGACACCTCGGGCTGCCAGGTGTTGGTCACAGGGTCGTACGACTCTACGGTGGCCAGATCCGAAGTCCCGTCGTAACTAGGAGAGGGGTCCGCTTCTGGTCAGGGCTGGCCCGGTGGGCACACATGGGCCCCTCACCCAGAGCAGCCTCCACACCTACCCGCCCACTGCGTACAGCCGGTTCCCGACGGCCGCCACGCCCACCCGGGCTCGGCGAGTGGACATGGAGGCCACCACGTGCCAACGGTCCGTCCGTGTGTCATAGGCTTCACAGTCCCCGTGGATGGCGAACAGGCTCCCGCCACCTAGAGAGGGGGAGGGGATGGGACGAGATGAGGGGCTCAGGGAGGGCATGGGCTGGGGGGCTCTGGCACAGCTCAAGGTGGAGGGCGTTGGGGCTTCAAGGGTGCGGACAGGGATCTGAGTGGGACACACCACATGGGGTCCCCCAGAGGTGGACAGAGGAGCAGCATGGGTGGGTGCAGGATGTGACCAGCACGGGGGGATGGGCTGGTGTCGGGCTCGTGGAGAGAAGAGGCCTCACAGAGGTGAAGGGAGAGGGGAGGGACGTGGGGACCAAGCAGGCGGGCATACCCACAGCGAAGAGCACAGGGCCAGCTCCCTCGCAGCGTCGGGGCCGAGTGCGGCTCGTGCCCAGGACGCCTCTCTGCTCTGGCAGCAGGTGGAACTTGAGGGCCTCGATCAGCAGGTCCTTGCAGTCAGGGTGGTGCCTCACCAGGCTCTCCGCGTCCACATGGCCCAGCAGGAAGTCGCGGCTCAGCAGGGGCAGGCGCACACACTTCATCAGCTGGGGTGCGGGAGTGCCACGGTCAGGCAGCAGGTAGGCCCCGTGGGCACACTTCCTCCTAGCAGGGAGGCCCCCCAGACACCTGTCTACCTGTCCCCTGGACACTTCTCGAGACACGTGCCTGCAGCACCCTGGACTCAGAGGAACCCGGGCGCACCCCGGTCCTCAGACACGGCACCCCTCCTAGACACAGCGGCCCCGGGGCTGGCTCACCCGTGGGACGTGCTGCCTCCGAGCATCCACGTCGTGCTTGACCCAGCTCAGGACGGCACGATACACGTCCTCCTCTGAAGGCACGTTCAGGCTGTCACTAGAGACCAGTTCCAGCACCTGGGGGTAGGGACCCTCAGACCTGAAATCTGGGGAGGGTCTTGGGGGCCCACGGAGCCCTGATGATCCTGGGAAGGAGAGTCCAATGGGGGGGCCCAGTGTTCCTATGAGGAGGGGCCAAGTGGGGTCAGGAGCCACAGACCCAGTTCCTGGGTGCCCAGGCCCAGAGCAAAGAAGAAGGCTTGGGTGGGGTCAGAAGATAGGGGCAGGGGGTGGGGCTGGAACATGGGTCAGAGGCTGGGAATAAAGGCCAGGGGGAGAGGCCCGGGTCTTAAGGGCCCAAATGACGGGGGTCAAAGAGTTCAAGGGCTGGGTGCTTTCTGGGGTCCAGGGACTGGGTCATGGTCCAAGCTGCACCCCAGCTGGCACATTACCTGCTTTAGCGGCAACAGCATGAACTCCTCCGTCTTGGCCACGTCCACGAAGTGCTGCAGCACGTACCTGTGTGCCGCCTTGAGCAGGTCGCTGCAGGAGTGCGTGTCGGCAAAGCCC